ATTGTGCTGCGGGGAGTGAGGGGTGCTCTGTAGAGGGCATTGTGCTGCGGGGAGCAGGGTGGAGGGACTTATTTGAGGTTGCGCTTCCCTTGCAGTCAGTGCTGATCCAAGCAGAGCTGGGGACTAAACCCAGGTTGCCTGAGCCCCATCTAGGGCCTTGACCCAAGACCCTTGTTCCTCGTTTTTCCAGCTCTACGAACACTTGGCAATAACAGACAGCAAAAGGCAGCAGGTCCTTGTGGATTGGTCTTAGTGCTTCAATTCACGGCAAGGGCCATGACTCACTTTATAAACCATTCTGCCACCCCCAGGTCTATTCACTGCACGCTGAGTTGTAATGGAACTGGCACCGAATGACAATAACCCCTTTCATCACAGTGTGTGATGGGCTCCTGTACCAATTTACAAACAAGCCCCTTTGTGCTTTCTCCCACGCTGCCCTGTAAGGTTGGCAGGAGCGCCTCAGAAACCTTCACAAAGCCAGCACATTCTCCACCTTCAAATCCTGCCACGAGGACTACAAAAATCTCGACAATGGTTATGCCGCTGGTCATCTGACAACCCACCATGCTGAGCGATGCTGTCTCATTGGCTGTTCCCTGGTGCTCCCCCGTCTGTCTGTATCCATCTGCGGTTGCTTGTCTTATGCTTAGTTCACACACTCATCTTTTTGTTCTGTGGGCCATGATCAGTAATGCAACCCCTATAACAACAGCTGTCTTCTCCTTCCACTTGTCTCTCCAGGCATGCCTAACCTTCCTCTCAGTGTGGTACCTGGGGAAATTCGGCGATCTTCCCCTCTGAGCCTTCTCGGAAGAGAATTCATCACGGTCTTCATGCAGAACGGCTTACAACATACACTCAACAGCGACTTCCGGCTACTTATCACCGCCTATGCCCCAGCCACATCGATCACCATCGCCATGAAGAAGCCGGCGCTCAGGGTGCCGGTCCAGGTGAATGCCGGCCAGACCGCAACGGTGATAATCCCACCCCACGCTGAGATGGTAGGGGCCAAAATCTTCGACAACACAGTCGTTGTCCGGGCTGACAATGATATCTCTGTCCTCTCTCTCAACTCCAAACCCAACTCGGTCGACACCACCCCTGTCTACCCGGTGCAGAGCTTGGGAACGGAGTATTACGTTGTCACACCGACCATGGGCACGGATCGCTATGGAGAGGTTGCCATTGTGGCCTGGGAGGGTCCAACCACAGTTGATGTGCACCTGAAAGGGGCTGTCATTTTCCAAGGAAAGACGCACCTCGGAGGGAGCAGGCTCACCATCAAGTTGGAGGCAAACCAGGCTGTCCAGCTGCAGAGCCCAGGGGACATATCTGGCACCAAAATCATTTCCCAGAGGCCTGTGGCTGTCTATGTTGGACACACTTGTGTGACAAGATTCAACCAGTGTGACCACGTGTCCGAGCAGCTCCTGCCTGTCTCCAGCTGGGGGACCACCTTCATCGTGCCCCCGTTGCCCTTTGAGATGCAGGGTGATATCGTCTACGTCTCCACCTCCCAAGCAACTGAGGTGGAAGTTCAAGTTGGGATGAGCAAGAGGAGCACGGGGCTGCTAGCTGGAAATGCTGTGCAGTACAGAATCCCTAGCTCCAATGCCTTGTTCTTCTCCGCTAGCGCTGGGATCCAAGTCATCTTCTTCTGCGATGGTGGGACCAAAGGAAACATCAGATACGACCCATTCTTCATGGCCATCCCAGCCGTCTCAAGCTACTGCCAGTCCTATCACATCTACGGGCACAATGAGTTTGAGAACTACGCACTGATCATCGCCAAGACATCGGAGTCCGCGGGGGTCACCATCGATAAGAGACCACTGCACAATGTCCTGTGGAGGCCAGTTCCAGGCACAGAATACTCTTGGGCTGAATACAGCCTTGGCAAAGAGTTCCAGGTCCATTACGTGGAGCACGCTAGCTCCCCCTTCGGCCTGCTGAGCGTTGGGATCGGAAACCAGAAGGCGTACGGCTCCCCAGCCATTTGTGCCAGCGGTGAGTATGGTGTCATGGATTCTCTCCACCTCTCCCTTGATTCAGCCTCAGGATTGTTCTCTATAAATACGTCAGAGAGATAAACACCAGGGTTGGGGAGGAGTCATTTAAGGGTCAATGCTGGTACAAGAACAAATGACTGTAAACTGGCCATGAATAAGTTTAGGCTTGAAATTAAATGAAGGTTTCTAACCACCAGAGGAATGAAGTTCTGGAACAGCCTCCCAAGGGGAGCAGTGGGGACAAAAAACCTCACTTGTTTTGAGACTGAACTTGATACGTTTATGGAGGGGATGGTATGATGAGAGTGCCCACAGTGGTGGGCTGCTAATAGTGGCTGCTAATAGCAACTATCAAAGGGGTAGCTGTGTTAGTCTGGATCTGTAAAAGCAGCAAAGAGTCCTGTGGCATCTTATAGACTAACAGACGTATAGGAGCATGAGCTTTCGTGGGTGAATACCCACTTTTTCAGATGCACGTAGTGGAAATGTCCAGAGGCAGGTATAAATATGCAAGCAAGAGTGAGTCAGGCTAGAGATAATGAGGATAGTTCAATCAGGGAGGATGAGGCCCTCTTCTAGCAGTTGAGGTGTGAACGCCAAGGGAGGAGAAACTGCTTTTGTAGTTGGCTAGCCATTCACAGTCTTTGTTTAATCCTGATAGTAAATATCTCCAATGGCCGGTGATGGGACACTAAATGGACACTGAATCCGCTGCTGTGGCCTCTGCAGCACGGCGCCCCCTACTGAACTCCCTCCCCCAAGCCTTGCAGCATGGCACCCCCTACTGAACCCCATGCCCTGCCCCCTGCTGCATGGTGTCCCCTACTGAGCCCTCTGCCCCGCCCCCTGCTGCTCGGTGCCCCCACTGAACCCCCTACCCCACCCCCTGCTGCTCGGTGCCCCCTACTGAACCCCCTACCCCACCCCCTGCTGCTCGGTGCCCCCCACTGAAC